GTCAAACATTTCTCAAATTTGGTAAAATGTTTAATTGGAGCACATTTTGACTGAGCCTAAAACTAGATTTGCCAATGGGACAAGCAGAGTTATTGTTTGTTATTTGCTTGGATCTATAATAACTGGATAGGTTATTACTAGCTTATAGCTGCCCACGGGCACAGGGGGCGCTGTGGTACTGCAGACTACGTGCAGTACCACGTGGGCTGCCCAGAAAAAACTAAAACAGCTCGACCTCAGCTGACAGAGAACCTACAGCTTTCATAAATATCGGATTTTGTGAGGATTTTAGTGTCCCTTGTCATCCTGAACTTTTTTCTTCTTTAATCCTTTGGTTTTCTGGGAAGGAATGGAGCAGAGTTTGTGGCGGTAAAGTGTGGATTCACTTTACCGCCACAAACTCTGCTCCATTCCTTCCCGCTCTGACTCCGCTCTGATCAGCAGCTCTGATTGGTCAGAGCAGTGTTGCCAACTCCTCAGTAAGGAAAGTAGCTATTGGCTGTCCCAAAAGTCGCTAGAAGTCGCTAAATGACGTCATAGCCTAATTTGCATAATTTGCCAATTGCAAATAACTGTAACGGACGCTGTAGGAGAGAGGAATAACGTCATGGGAGAGACAAAAGTGAGTAAAAACACCCTAAATATGTTTAGAACTACAAATGTACAAAAATAATTTCAACATTAACAACATTTAATGATTTTAATGCTTTGTCTAGATCCACATTACACACATCAGTTTTGTCCTGTATTGTTAAATGTTATAACAGCAAATGTAATCAAAAGATTGTTATGTAGGGTGAAATTGCTAGCTCTACAACCAACCCTCCTCCTTTATCCGGGCTTGGGACCGGCAAAGTGACCCAAAAGACACACTCTGGCAGAGTTACTTAGGTTTATTTTTGTAAGTTTTTTTTTTTTTTTTTCATAGTTTGGCATAACAAATGATTTAATGTGACCCACTACTGAGAGAAAACAGAGTCACGGACAGAGCTGCCGCGGATGGAGTGGGGGGTAGTGGGGGGTGGCGGTGGTAGGAGTGGCCGGGGAGCTTTGGATGTGTGGTGGTGGTGGAGCTGAAGTTCAGTCTGCAGCAGCCTGAAAACTTCCTGTGCTTTTGAGTCTCCTCTCTCTCTCTCTGCTCCGCCCATAGACTGTAGCTGGGACTGCTGCGCAAGGCTACTGTGAGACTGGCCGCCTGTAAGTGCTTTGGGACGGGGGAGGGGCTCACGTTGAGGACAGCAGAACAATACGTGCTTCACGAGTCTCCAAAACACCAGATAAGTCGCCAATAACACCAGAAAAAGTCGCTAGATTTGTCGCTAGTCGCTTTTTTGAAAAAAAGTCGCTATAGGGGTCTGAAAAGTCGCTAAATCTAGCGACAAAGTCGCTAAGTTGGCAACACTGGGTCAGAGTGCGGCCGAGCCCCTCTGTGCACGTGCATGAAAGCCACACACGCATATTTGGCGAAACACATCATGGGAGCTCGTCCACTGCGCAGAACCGGGAGGACCAGACAATGCCCAAATATAGGCGAGTTCCTCTGGTATGTCAGCGCCCGTGAAGTCCCATGCGCTACTGAGCACAAGCCGTTCATTTGAATAGGGCGCCATCTTGGATCACTGGGGCTTGGTTATTTGTCCAATCGGCAAATCTTGTTTTAAGATTCGTTTTTATTGGTTGGGACAGTGCAGGTAAATGAACACACCTCTCCAGATTTTAGCTTTGAGCTGTCCCACAGTGACAACAACAAAGTGACAAAGATAAAAAAAAAAACACTGGATTTAAGCATTTATTACCCCATATTTCATCACTTTTTGCAGTGTACTACATTTTAAAACAGTTTTACAAACAGTTTTTACAGTCCATGTTGTCAGCAACCGGACAAGTCTAAACTAAACTGACCCTCTTACTAGCAGGTTGACTACCTTACCTAAGAGTTGAAGATTCATTTCAATCTTGAAACCACTAAAATATATATTTTTTAAAACATCTCAGCTGAAATGTAGTTGAAATACCTTTAATTCATTCAGATGTTTATTTCCCCAGAGTTCACAACATTTGTACAGACAGATATTCACTTTATATCAGTAGTCATATACATTTCCTATGCGTACTGTGGTTATCTTTGTGTTCAGCCATTTCATGATTTCACTGTATTGAAAAAGTTAGAAATAAAATGTCATTAACCCAGTTTCCACCAGCCCTGTTTATCAGGTACCAGGTCCTTTAGTCTCTCTTGGCCCTGGTTCTATCCAGGCCAAGCTGGTACTAAAGTATTCTATCTTGGCCAGGCTTAATTATAATGAGGTATGACATGCCATTGTGAAGTTGCAAACCTTCAGTGGGTAGTGATTCTCATTCATTTAAATACAAAACGGTCACATGGAAAAGTGAATCTGGCTGTATGAGGCAGTTGGGCCACAATTTGCCCAGGTCTGTTCCAAAGAGTATCTCAAACTAAACCAAACAGACTAAAGTAGAGTCGGACATAGTAATGGTGGAAACAGAGGCAGACATTTGAACAAGTGCAGAAGTTCCATCCTTGTAGTCGTTCACAGAAAGCTGTAGTGGTGAGTGTCACTCTCTTTGAGTTTATTCACAGACATTTATAGCCTTTGTATTAGCCATGTAGCCTGACCGTCACGGAAGAGACAGGGCCTGCACAGTCAGACTTAGCCTGGTCGTACCACACCATAGTACAAATTACATTTCGTGCTAAGGTCTGGATTTGCGTTTACCGAGTGAGTCGCTAGCATTACCCATTTAGCCTAGCATCTCCTTTGCCACTAACGGAGCCCGTGGGGAGTAGAGCCTAAAAATCTTAACCAGCAATGAAATCTGCGTAACATTCCGGGTTCAATTTCTTGACATTTGTAGATGAACCGGAACAGATTACTTTACTATCGCATTCTCCACCAAACTACAACCAGCTAATGCGGCGCAAAGTAACCGACACATACCTCCAACACCCGCCTCCCACGCTTTCTGATTGGTTGGATGAGATTCAACCGATTTAAATGCATTCACTGGGACAAGACCCAGACGGTACATGCAGGGTTATCATAATTGACCTAAGTTCACGGATGGCTAAGGCCAGGCTAAGTCAGACCCAAACCAATCAGCAAACAATCAGACGTGACGACAGCTGTGTGTCTCGAAAGTTGTAGTCCGATTAGTAACCATGGCGACAGGTGCGGAGCTTAGTCCAGGCCGTTTTTCCTATTGTTGTGAGGCACTTCCTTATGTATTTGTTGTAAACCGTGCGAGAATCCTCTGTTCACGTCTCGTTTCAAGACTTCAGTCGCTTTGATTCTCTAATCTGTTATTTGGTGAATTGACCACTTTGTTACGTCCTCCGAGACAAACTGCTGTGATTATGGGCGATACAAAAATAGACAGAATTGAACTGTGGGCCTCCCCGAGGATTTCTCCCACTGGGTTTTTAGAGTTTTTCCTCGGCAACGAAGGACGGTCTAAGGACAGTGGTGATGGACCAGGACACTCCACACTCAACATGTTTTGACATTGGTCTCTGCCCTTTATGGACCAATGGTTATCTGTTTTTATCATTGCATTTCCTGTGTGACCTTTCTGATTCTCTGATCTGTGTTTGAAAATCGACAGCTTTGTAAAGTCCTCCGAGATAACTACTGTTGTGATTTATGCCTATGTACAGTATGTAAAAATCTGGCCAAAAGTGGTACTGCAGCCTCTCCCACTCTCCCTGACTCAGGTTGCCAGATATGCAGACGAATCCAGCTGGGATCATAATAACTGAATATACACGAGTTATGTCAACAACAAATCTATAATCGACACCTTTTTCACAAATATATAAATCCTGGTTTTATTTCTTGATTTGTCATTAGCTCCGTAAAACGGTGGAGGGTGAGACATCGAAATGAAAACAAAAACTAGATTTAGGGGCTGTAAAACAGAATCCCTGAACTATTGTCATATGTTAAAGAAGTATTGGAAAAGAGCATGTTCTGTTAATGCCCTTTGACAGATTAGGGCCCTTTAATAATGACTTGACATGGAAATATTACATATTGCTACTTTAATTCATTGATGATAAAAGTGGTTCTTTTCATCGACTGCTGGTCTCGGTTCGTGCTCAGGTCTTTGGGCGGTCGTCGCTCTTGTCAGAAACATGGATTTTTTTTTAGTCTTCGCTCTCAATGAGGATTTAACTACAGCGACGTCGAGCAAGAGGGACGTAGCTTTGTCCCCACGCCCACTTCCTGTCAGCTGTCAGGATGTGGGCGTGGCTTGCCAGGCGAGTCGGGACGGGAGCTGAAGATTAAATTCTCTCCAAAAACAAAACACTAGTAAACTGCACCTTTTGTGACGCTGTAATATCCATTAGTAAAGCTCATTAAAGGGACTGTCAGTAATAGTCATGATGAATGGTCTCCACAGTTATTATTATTATAATCGAAAATTTCCCCACTGTGGGACGAATACAGGAATTCTTATCTTATCTTGTTCCCAGAATCTTCCTACTGTGACACGTTTAACGACACTGCCGTGATTACTGATGCAAACCACCTGCTGGGGTTCAGCAAGAAACAGCACAAACATGGGACCTGTTCTGTCTTTTCAAATGAAAACATCACATACGTTCCATTTAAAGATAAGGGGTCATCTATTGTTCGGTTGAAATTTCTCTCAAAAACATTTTTCTGAAAACCAACAGTGAAGGCTTGAGATCAGTACAATTTATCAGACAGTACAGTTTCACCTCAAATCTGTTGTCCCTAAGGTTTAGAAGGTTCTTAAAATAACAGAAAAGTGTAAATCAACACATGTTTGGATAATGTAATAGATCCATGATATTTTGTGTAGATTTCTTTGTCAGAGGAGACTCTGACGAAGGCTGAAGTCCAACAGTGAAATATGTGGCATTTAAGCAGAAGTAGCGTCTTTACACTTTTGTCTTTTCAAAGAACATTCTAAGTCTTAAACAGATTGAAGCGTTGTCCCTGAGCGTGTGCACATCAGTCCTCAAACTTCATGACGCCCTCAAAGCCGTGGTAGGAGAAGGCCGGGCGCTGGGGCCCGCAGCTCTCCTGCTCCGCACAGGCCATGCGGTTGCTCTCGCAGCTGCTCTCGGAGCCGGGGCTCAGGTACACGCTGTCTGGAGACTCTATGGATGGGTCCATGTCAAAGTAATTATGTGGCCGCAGCAGGACTCCGCCCCCGTTTCCCACGGTAACAGTGTTAGGGATGTCTTCCGAGTGAGGGATGTGGAGGAAACCGGCCGTCACCCAGGCAACCAGGTCCTGCACGGGAAACAAACACTGTTTTACCATATGACACAATATAAAATATATTCTGCAGTTATCAGTCCATTCAAGATTTCACAGGTATGTTTTAGGATTGCAGCTGAAGAATAACTGACAACAGTTGCTGCAAATGTTGAATGATAGTTGCACTGCTAAGAACTTTCCCAAGCCCCTGTCGATCTGCTGCTGACTGGACAAATGATTGATGAATACAAAGCAGATAAGGGTCTTCTTTTTATGGATCAAACACATTTGTGGAGCAGTGAGGAGGGACTATGACCAGCCAGCAACTTCAAAGACCTCAAAACAATAAGTAAGTGTGGCCTGTGGGCGCCCCTCGCACACTTGTAGAGGGCATCACAGTGAACGAGTGTGCAGTCAAAGTAGTCGCAAACCTCCTTCAGATTTTGGCGGCTCATTCCCATGGCTTCTCTTTCCACTTTTACGTAAGAAACAGCCAAAAGGAGCCAGCCGCTGTTAATCAGTGTTGGGCATGATACTTCAAAAACGTAATATAATATGTATTACTTATTACTTTTGTTTCAAAATAATGTATTGCACTACAATATTACTGTATCTGAATTGTAATGCATTACACTGCTACTGCATTACTTTTAAGTTACTTTCTCCAAATATATATAGTTAAAAAAAAGGATTAGGATTGAATCATCTCAAGTTCAATGTTTATAAATCTATTTCAGTCTAATAATCGAAGGGGCTGTTTAACATGGGGTAAACTGGTTAATCCTGGTTCAGGCTCAGTCCTGGCTCAGTCCCGGCCCAGTCCCGGCCCAGTCCCGGCTCAGTCCCGGCCCAGTCCCGGCTCAGTCCCGGCCCAGTCCCGGCTCAGTCCCGGCTCAGTCCCGGCTCAGTCCTGGCTAAGTCCTGGCTCAGACCTGGTTCACAGCAGTTCACTGCTTTATTTACTAAACATGATGAAGTACATCATTTTTGCCGCTGTTTAAAACGTGCACGTATTCTCCGCCCGTTGCATAGTGTCTGCCTTTGTCTCAAACAGGACTCTGTAGAGGAGGGGTGTCCAAACCGGTCCAGAAAGGGCCGTTGTGGTTTAGGTTTTCTGTCAGACCCAGCAGGAGCAGAGCAGACTCCTCCCATTTCCTCAAATCTTCAGGTTAAGACCATAGACTGTATATATTAACGGACAGAGTCACGCCTATCTCCGCCGCTCTAACTAATGGGCCGTAAAATGTGCTCTACTGGAGCAATCCAAAATGGCCGTGAGTGGTCCCGCCCACAAGAAAATTGTGAAAAAACGCATCTGCGCATGCGTCAGCCGGCGCAACTCCATTCATTTGAACGAGAGACTTCAAAAATTCACAGCAAGTAAACTAGAGTGGACCAAACAAATCCACCCTCCTCAGCATTGACACACATGTGGAACGGAGCTTTGTGCCAAGAGCCAACTTTTGGTCCATCCTGTAAAGACGTTTTTAAGAGGTCTGCCAATGCTATATGCTAGCATCGGCTAATTCTACTTCTGGGTCCACCCCCATCGGCCCGGGGTGGTATTGCAAGCATGTCAGCGCACGTCATTTTGGCCACTTTTGAGCTGGGACCCGCCCCCACTGGTTAAGACTGAACTCTCTTGAGGAAATGGGAGGAGTCTGCTCTGCTCTTGCTGGGTCTGATGGAAAACCTGCAGCCACAGCGGCCCTTTCTGGACCAGTTTGGACACCCCTGCTGTAGAGAGTCAGAACTCTGTGAAAATGGACTCTTTTTGAATGCTTTAAAGATCAAAGCAGAGCTTAGACTCTCATCTGTCCATCGGCTGCATGTCTCTGTTCATACCTCATACCTTTGAGTTTGTTTTTTATTCTCTTCTTTTCTTTGCCGTTTATTAGCTGCACCTGACGTCTTGGACTGCCTTTTCATAATAACGTTGACCAAAAACACGTCTATCTTTCACACTTTCTGGGATGCGCGAGGCTGACCTTCCCCCCTACTCACCTGGGCGTGACCAGAGAGCCGCCAACAGCAGCAGGGTTCAATGATGACCATTATTATTAAGTTTACATGTATAGTATGCATACATTGTTTTTTATTTTCAATCTTACGTCACAGACTATATACAACTACAGCAGACTGAACAAGCAGGTCAGAAGGGTCAGCTCCACTCTGGGCTACTCCCTAACTCTGTGGAGGAGGAGAGGGACAGGAGGGTGCTAGTCTAAGTCACCTCCCACTGCACAGGACTGTAGAGGAGCTGAGGAGCTCCTTCAGTGGAAGGAGCACTACCGCAGGGCCTTTATCCCCACCGCTGTCAGACTGTACAATAAGTCACTTTAAGTCACTTGCATTAAGACTGAAAAACCTGCACTACTATTGACACTGTTTCTTGTACATAAAAAACATGTTGCACATTTTTTTTTTTTGCACAATCTTGAGTGTTTCTGTCCATTCCAGATGCAACATGTACATTCCTCCTGTGTGAGATCAATAAAGTCTATCTTATCTTATCTTATCTTACAGCACTTTGCGACAGACTATACACCACTACAGCACTTTGTCACAGACTATACACAGCTACAGCACTTTGCCACAGACTATACACCAGTACAGCACTTTGTCACAGACTATACACAGCTACAGCACTTTGTCACAGACTATACACAGCTACAGCACTTTGTCACAGACTATACACAGCTACAGCACTTTTATCACAGACTATACACAGCTACAGCACTTTGTCACAGACTATACACAGCTACAGCACTTTGTCACAGACTATACACAGCTACAGCACTTTGTCACAGACTATACACAGCTACAGCACTTTGTCACAGACTATACACAGCTACAGCACTTTGTCACAGACTATACACAGCTACAGCACTTTGTCACAGACTATACACAGCTACAGCACTTTGTCACAGACTATACACAGCTACATCTCTCTGAATACAACATGACACGTGACACACACCTCGTTGACAATACTTTCGTTGTCGTGGATGAATGAGCTGAAGTCCACCACTGGGCTCCACATGTCGTTCTGATTGTACAGGCTGCTGCTGGTCCTCTCCTGCTCCTTGTGTTTGGTGATGGACACTTTGTACCTGGCACACAACAAACACGTCATGTTTAAGATTACCTTCACACACAAAAGACTTCTAAACAAACGTGTCTCTTTCTATGCTGACTCCCCAGGAACCAAGCTTTTTGAACCCTGATTCACAAAGGTTAATTTTGTCTTGATTAAAAATGCTTTTTTCTGGAGAAGGGTGTCCCATGTGTGCGACAGCTTTCCTCCTGTCGCACACATGGGACACCCTCCTCCAGAGACCACCGGGCGAGAGGGGCGTGGTCAGTCTGAGCGACCTGCCAGGTCAATCAAGCTGACCACGCCTACTCAGGAAGCAACATCACGTCACCAAGGCAGGTGACAGTTCTGAATATGGTTCACAGCTCTGCACTCGAAACATGTTAACAAGGTCATACATCTGAACTTGTCTTTCAAAAGAACCAAAAACTATTTGAACCTTGAAGACCGAGCCTTCTGAACCCTGAAGACCGAGCCTTCTGAACTCTGAGGACCGAGTCTTCTGGACCCTGAGGACCGAGTCTTCTGGACCCTGAGGACCGAGTCTTCTGGACCCTGAGGACCGAGCCTTCTGAACCCTGAGGACCGAGCCTACAATGTTTTCAAATATGTACAGTGAGAACTGCTGAGCCTGGACATGTGAGAGTCATCTGTTTTACCTGCTGCGATTATTATTATTATTATTGTGTATCTAGTCATATTCTCTGCTGTTAAAGTAAAACCAACCATTTGTTAAAGTGAACCCTGACACTGCTAACGACAAGTGAATATCTTTGACCCAAGTGTGATTATATATCTCCAAAGAGTATTATTGTATTATCTGTCATCTTAAATAATAGATCATGTTTGGTGTGTGCATAACCTGAAGGCTCTTATTTCTCCTTTTATTCTGCTGTAATTTGTACAACTTTGACCAAAAATTCCCGACTGAGGCACAAATACATGTTTATCTTTATAGAACAGAAAGTGCACGCTGACCTGGCCCAGGAAATGGACCTCTCCTCGGGTTCGCTCTCAGGGAGGTGGTCCCCGTTGAAGCTGTACACCTGCAGCCTGTAGGAGCGGGCGTGGCCCCAGCGGTTGGTCTGGTTGCTGCTGACGTGGAGGTAGCGGGGGATCTTTGTGCCGTGACGCAGAGCTGCCTCCTGTGCACAAACAAGCTCAGGTTATAAGAGACGAGAGAGTGGACAGTCCTGACGTGTGCTGTCCTGTGCCACTGTGAGCCGGGCTAACCACACAGAAACCAGACAAGTTCCGGCCTCCATCAAAACCGACCCTCCATTTGCCCTGCATCTATGAAAACCTTTTATTAAGTGAAAAAAAAATGTATTATTTCACCGCAAAAACATGAATAAAACAAGCCATAAATTGTGATGGCACGCTTTATTACTTTACTGGGACGAACAGTTCAGATCAAAAGTTTAGACTAGGGGTGTGACAATATATCGATTTTTCGATATATCGCAATACTTTCTCCCGCGATTCAATTATCGATTTTTTTTTAAACAAATTTCTTTTTTTAAAATTGGTATCAATACTTAATATATTGCTACATTACGCATCTCCATTCCATTTCTCATGAAATAAAGTGTATTTTTTTCTTTTATTTATACAATAAATTGGCATATTGTATATTTCTGACCAATATATCAACAATTGTCATATCGTGAAAAAATCGTTATTGTGATATCGTTATCGTGATATCGTTATCGTGATATTATCGTTATCGTGAGCTTTGTATCATGTGTCGTATCGTATCGTGAGGTACCCTTAGGTTCCCACCCCTAGTTTAGACCCACTTTCTCATTCAATGAGTGTCTGTAGATCCACACCAGGCTGTGTAATGGTGCTTTCAGACCACCAACGCTGAAACACATATTCTCTAGTTTTCAGACGCAGGGGTTTTCACACCAGAGGTCCTGGCGCGCACCAGAAGTGCCGGAAGTAGCCGGCGGGCTCTGATGCTAACAGAGCTATGCTAGCGGCTTCTTATGTACAGATCTTCTCCAATAATGCAGTTTTGCAGCGTGTCTGTGTTCAGAGACCTTCCACAGACTTTATATAACAGCAGTATGTGTTCACGGAGCTGACTTTATATAACACTAGTGTAGGAGCTATTTGCTTGATAGATTTAATTATTTGGGGTTTGTATATTTTTTAATATTTAGTAATTTTTTGCTGAGGTTAGTATTTTTGTTTTTTGGTAATTTAGATATTTTTGTAGATTATTTTGGGTTTACTTCAGTTCGGTTTAGTGGCACCTAGGGGATATAAGGGGGCAGTACAGGGCGGGCCTTCATGCACCTGGGTGGGCCTATGGTTTTTTACCAGTTCTAGGAGATGCAGCATTTTTGTGTTGTTTGCCTGCAACTTGATGAATAAACCCTTTTTGAACTTTACATTTTTGGAATGGACAATTGTTTATTTTTAGTACTGCGTAAACCACTTACCCATGGTGCATTCTAGTGATTATTTGAGTTTGTTCTTAAGTTTGGTTACATTTGGTTTGATAGTCTATTTTTTGACAAATAGTCAGCCACATGCGAGTAAAAAACCTTGCCCTTGAACCAACAAGAATACTCATCACATCAATCGAGTGGTTTCTTGCGGATAAATGCGTGGATGGCTGCGTAAAGTTTGTTTTGATTCATCGCCTTCGGGTCCTGATTGCTCCAGCTGCCTCACCTCAACAATCAAAGCCCTCCTGGTCTCCTCTGCAAATGGTATGTGGAGTATTACTAATGCTGTAATGGAAAACAGCCAAACGATTGGAGTTTGAAGATAGTAATTAACACCATATTCAAGGATATCAATGGAGATTAAAGAAAGGATTGTCTGCAGTACCATTACGCACCACTAGTCGCAACAAGCCAAGTGAAATAAAATAAAGTTGATTGTTGCTCAGTGCCGCATTTATTCAAACAGTGGATTGTATAAAAAGGAACTACAAAATTCCAAAGGGGAAAATGTCGGACGTGTGGAAAGCCATTTCAGTCACAGAAAATGATGTGCAATCGTCAGTCAAGAGGAAAACCAAACTAACACCTGCTGGTCTGAGCTTTTACGTGCAAACTACTCAAGATAAATGGAAAGCCAAAATTTAAAAAAATTAAAAAGCTAAAAGGCTTATGGAGGATTTGAACATTTTGATGAAATCCAAGGACAATGAAAATTCAGTTGCGTCACTTTTCAATGTGTTCACGCAATGTCAACAAGACGCAAAAGCTGCGCATGATTTCTTCATCAATCTGGCACTTCCTCTTGATGAAATTGCAACGCAAAATGAATACTTCACAAATAAAATGACTATATACAGTGCATTCGTGGAGCGTGTCAGCGACTGGTTGCGTGATCTTGGTCGTGAAAATGTGCCACAAATTAAGGACAATAAACCACAAGAGGAGGACTTGGGTCCAGAAGACAGTGCCTCTAATGTGGGCTCCGCAAAGTCCAACGTATCAAAGACTCGCTCTCAAACGTCACGCATCTCCAATGTCTCTGTGCGCCTCAGAGCAGAAGCCGATAAAGCTGAATTGTTGGAACGTGTTGCAGCACTAAATAAAAAACATGAAATTGAGGCACAAGAGGAACAATTAAAATTGCAAAGTGAACAATTAAAATTGCAAAGTGAACAATTAAAGTTGCAAAGTGAAAAATTAAAAAGACAAAAAGAACAACTTGAACTGGAATCGAAACTTGCTGCTGCAAATGCAAAGCTTCGTGTTTTGGACATTAGCTCTCAATGTGGCTCCAAAGTTTCAAAAATGTCTGACGGTATGAACTCGTATGTCAAAGGGCACAACGTCACCAAAGAGACACTTTTAAATCCACATGCCAATGCATTTGTGCCAGAGAAAACTACAACTGCGCATAGTGTGACCACCATCCCAGTTCCCAAGCAAATTCCAAATGTGTCAAATAAAAACTATTCTTGCACAACACAAGTGTTTCCCAATCAACGTGATAGTGTTGAGTTGCCATCGGAAATAAACAATCAATCTTGTGTAATGGACATAATGCAACGACAAAATGAAATCACTGCCATGTTGGTCCAGCAAAACTTAACTTCAGTTTTACCACCTCGAAATATTCCATGTTTTGACGGCCACCCTCTTGAATATAAATCGTTCATAAGAGCTTTTGAAAATGGTGTCGAAGCAAAAACTTCAGATCTGACAGACTGTTTGCATTTTCTCGAACAATACACCAGGGGGCAGCCGAGAGACCTTGTCCACAGTTGCCAGCACTTACCTGCAGAACATGGCTACTACAAAGCAAAAGGTCTTCTTGCTGAGCATTTTGGAAATGAACATAAAATTGCACATGCATACTGTATATGGAAAAGATTAACAACTGGTCATCAATAAAAGGTGAAGACATCCAAGCACTACAATCATTCTCTCTGTTCCTAAGAGGATGTTCAAACTTAACAGAACATATCGCTCATATGAAAGAACTTGATTTGCCAACTAATATGAGAAACATCATTCTAAAGTTACCGTATAAATTAAGAGAAAGATGGAGAGGAGTGGCTTGTGATCTTCAAGAAAGGAGAGGACAAAGAGCATTGTTCACAGATCTGGTCCTGTTCATTGAAAAACAGGTCAGAATTGCATCAGATCCACTTTTTGGAAACATCCAAGATCCACAGCACTCTCTACCCAAGAGCTCAAACAGTAGCAATTTAAAGCAAAGAAAAAGGGGAAGTTTTGCCACAAATGTAACTGTAAACAAACTTGCATCAAATGAAAACAAGACTTCTGTAAATGGTTGTTTATTTTGTGCATTAAATAACCATAAGCTGGAAAAATGTTTCAAATTTAAAGAAAAGGCTCACAAGGACAAAGTAAACTTTATTAAAGAAAAGGGACTCTGCTTTGGCTGTCTCAAATCGGGTCACACGAGCAAAGACTGCAGAAATAGAATGGAGTGTTCTGTTTGTCACCAAAGACACCCCACTATTATTCATATTGAACGTGAAAACGCATCCAAGTGCCCCCCACAGCCCATATCTACATCTACATCCACAACGACTCAAACCTGTGGGCATATTGGGGCTGGTGACGAAGATCATTCAGTTTTGTCCATTGTTGCCGTGAACGTGAAGAGCCAAAGCACCAGTAAACCAGTGCAGACTTATGCATTTTTGGATCCAGGCAGCACTGGTACTTTTTGCACAGAAAGTCTGTCAAGAAAATTGAATGCTAAAGGAAAAAAGGCTAGTATTCTGCTGCGAACAATGGGAAATAAAAACATTGTGAACACAAATATTTTATCTGGACTCAAAGTAGCAGCACTTAATGAAAATGAGTACATTGAGCTCCCTGAAGTGATGACACAAAAAACAATGCCAGTTTCAAAAAGCAATGTCCCACAACAAGATGATTTGAGTAAGTGGCCATACCTGCAAAATGTGAAGCTCCATGACATAGATGCTGATGTTGAGTTGCTCATTGGCACTGATGCAGCTAAAGTGATGGAGCCGTGGGAGCTAATCAACAGCCAGGGTAATGGGCCCTATGCTGTTCGGACCCGAGTTGGATGGGTCATTAATGGTCCACTTCGTTGTGACTGCAAAGGTAAAGGTAGCTGTACTACTGTCACTGCTAACAGAATATCTGTGGAGCATCTTGAGAGCATGTTGGTTCAACAATATAACCATGACTTTAATGAAAAAACATCACACGAGCAAAAGGAAATGTCTCGAGATGACATCAAGTTTATGGACATAATGAGGAGCTCTGCTGCACTAATAGATGGACACTACTGTGTAGATCTGCCTTTTAAAGAGCAAAGGGTCAACTTACCTCGTAACCGATGTATTGCAGAGCAACGTCTCCAAAGTTTGAAAAATAAATTCAACAATGATGACTCTTTCAAAGAAGAGTATTCTGCTTTTGTAGAGGACATGCTTTGCAATGGATATGCTGAAATGGTCTCAGATGACCACATGGACAATAATGAAGAAGTTTGGTATATTCCACACCATGGTGTTTATCACCCCAGGAAAAACAAGCTCAGGGTTGTTTTTGATTGTGCTGTGACATACAAAGGGACCTCGCTAAACAGCCAGCTTCTTCAGGGGCCTGATCTCACAAATTCTGTGGTGGGAGTTTTGCTGCGATTCAGAAAGGAGCCCATAGCT